AATAGTTGAAGTCGACTACTTCATGAAGTGGGTGGAATCAAAATTCGTAGCCCGCATCACGGCCGAGAGGGTGCAATAATTTTACTAGAAGAATATCATATGCAGGTTTGGTCTACCAACAGTCATTGTCTCTAACAATCAAACTCAATTCATAAGTGCTTCTGTGATAGAATTCTACAAAGAATTGGGCATCCAAAACATATTTACATCAGTGGAGCATCCTCAAGAAAATGGGCAAGCTGAAGCAGCAAACAAGATAATCCTGGTTGGGGAGGGATTTCCTGCTCTCCATCTCCAATGTCTCCCTTCGAGTCTTCTCTTTCGAAAGACTCTTCTACAAAGCAGTAATATTGTCGGATTTGACCTTCTGGTCATCCTTCAAGTCGGTAATCTCCTTCTGGAGCTTCAACTCATTTTGTTCATAGTCATCGCCGGAATCAAACAAACCCCTTGACAAAAAGGCACACCTCATGAGGTAAGAGCTGGTGTTATAAAACATCTTCTGACATCCTATGGACTTCACCTTCTTAACATCCTCATCCACTTTGAGGTGGTCATAAAAGAACTTGATCCCATCAAAGTTGTTTGACCAAAACTTAAACTCCCCAGCCGGGTTAGAAACACCTTCCAAGGAATCTTTCATTAACGAGGTGATTTCCATATCATCCCGGTAAACATCGTTATTCATCAAAGTCTTCAGTTTCTTGGGATTTCTCTAAGGAACCTCCTCAAGAACTAGGGGATTGAAGGTTGGAGCTCGGCTGATCTTGAGGCCGCCTTGGTACTCATCACCCTCTTACTTTTTAAAAGACAAGTTTCAAGGTCGGCTAATCCTGAGGTCGCCTTGGTACTCATGCACGGGAAGCCAACATCAACTTCTTTTGCTCGACGACACTGAGATCAGTCATCTTATTTACAAAAAATAAAGATGGGATGAAATTAGGCACTTAACAATATAAAGTTTATGGTTTGTCCATTAAGGAACTGATTTCAAGATATTTACCAAGGAAAGATGGAATTTCTTTATCATTCAGAGATATCAACTCATTCACCCTCATCATTTGAAATGAGTCAAGGACTTCCAGAGGTTGGATCTCTAGCTCACTTAATTTCTCAAAAGAGAAAATGGAAATTGAAAGAGGATCCCGGGTCCAATAGTGAGGGAAGCGGGGGTGACCGTCTGGGGCCAACAACACTTGTGGGCACTATAGCCCACACTTAACCCGAACGAAGTGGTCTTTAAACCCTTTGTAGTTGCTGGTGTAAACTTGGAGAAAACTCTTCTGAGAGATTCCACTAATCTGAATCCAACTGCGCTTCTTAACTCCCTTCACCTCGAAGAATGAAAAGAACAAGCCCACAATTGGGATAATGTTCAAAGCCTCACAAACTCTTTCAAAAGCCTTTATGAAACCCCAACTGTTAGGTCGAAGTTGAGAAGGGGCCACATTCATGATCTTTAGAATGTGTGTTTCAAAACTCAAGAAAGGGATACGAACTTGAAAATCTTCCAACATTCCCGGATAGAAATAAAAGAACTCCTCCTTGGAACTTTTAGGGCGGGAAATGCACACTCGTTCTCCAGGATTGTAAGCCTTCAAAATAACGTCCTCCTTGTTCCCGGTGGAGGATATGTTCTTCAGAGACCAAATTTTTCCTATCTTCATTGCGTCAAAAAGACTATTTTTATAGCTCATTACTTCTAGATCAAAGGGAGCAGAGGTTTCCATCACCATCTCCACGGAACTTGAGGATGAAGAGGCGTGGTCATAATCACTTTCAGAAGTGAGGATTTCGTTATAAACCTTGTTCATGACTCGAGTATGCTCTTCTATGCTTAAGATAGTTTGCATCTCTCGCATGCACTCATCCCACAAAGCATTTCTTTCCTCAACATTTTTTAGTTTTATAACATTTCCAGCGCTATCACACTCTCTTATGATAATCATTCTTATGAAAATATCAGAAAATAGGAATAAAGTAAAAAGGAATGAAGAAGAGGGGAATACCTGATTAAAGTGTGCTTTGCATTTGAGAAGGATTCACTGATGAAGAGAGTGTTACGAAAGTTGCAACGGTAAGAATTGATGAAAAAGGGGAAGAAAATAGGGCTTAAATAAAGATTCCTAGTAAATGATGGTAGTAGTGGGGGAACAGGCTCCTATAATCAAGTCTCCATAAAAGGTCATCACTATACTAGGAAGAAATCACTCAAAAGATTCGCCTCTTCGTTGCCTGCCACGTGCGCGAAAAGGTTCAAACGTGTGAATGTTTTTCGGATTCAAACTAAAAATATTCTGAGCTCATTTATGACCAAACACCACATCTTGATATCGACATGTATGTTCAGAGGGCTTATGTACATCCCAGAATAAATATGTCGGGTCGGGACCTATAGTCGGCTTATGAAGGATCGCGAGAAGGCAACAAAGTATGGATACGTGTGTACATCTGGTTATTGTCCTCGGGACTAGGGGCTAGGCCGCGTCCTATCTCCGAGTACCTACATCCGGGTAATGCTCTCCAGGACGCGACCCAATAGGATACGAAAAGTCATCGTGAGGACCCGACCGTAACTCCAGAAATGATCACCAACTATTAATCATCAGTCGTTACCCTAAGTTAAGGGCATCAATGATGGCTAGCGGCGGACGTTTCAGGGCAATGATAACGTGAGGAACTCCAAGGGTGCGCCTTAATGGAGTCTTTGAAGGTATTAAAGAGGCTATATATAAAAAGCTCTTATCAGAGAGATAAACAAGACATTCATTCTTGAGACAATACACACTGCAAGCGTAACTCTCAAATCCCCAATCATACTTATAGAAATTTATCTTTGAGATTCTCTTTATTTCTATAGAATAGCTATATATATATATATATATATATATATATATATATATATATATATATATATATATATATATATATATATATTCCATTATTTCAATGATATGTGATTCTCATGCCATGTCAACACATAGCGGTCGATGTGTCCTAAAAAGACGACTACTTGATCAGAATTTGGCTGCATGTTAGTATGGTAATATTAAGTGTGCATGTAATTTTGTGCCTTGTGGAAACACTAAGGATGTTGTTCGGGATGTACGTAATCATATAGTTCATGCATCTTCTCGATCACCCATTTAGGGTTCGTTTGTTGCTCTTGAAAAACTTCAATTACAACATGCGCATTTGTTGAGCCACGTCCACCCACGCCTACGAACTTGAACCCATGAACCTTCATGGCTAGCTTCAATCCTCCTCCCGTTGTGATGTGGTGGATGCTACTATCACACCTAATATTATTTCACTAACGGCCCATCTCTGGCGACAACAACATCAAACAAAGTTCACTTCATTTCCTAGATACGAATTCTTTATCCACTCATTTTAGGATTGATTTGTTAATGTGATATTGAGAGAGAAGAAATTACCTAGCAAACACCTCTCTATATTTCATTTAGTAATTCACTCCAATTTGCAAATCGGTAGGTTTAAGCAATGATGTGAATTACAGATTCCTAAACAAGAAACTACATTCAATTATTTTTTATGAAATCAACCTATCTCAATAAGTACTTTGTATTTTGAAACATAAACTTTAATAAAAATATCGGTTTCATCCCATCAACATCAAAGTTCACTTTAGACCTACAAATATGTAGTACCAGGCCCCCCTGCCAATTTATCAAACACTCATTTAACGTGTATGATTTGTTAGGCATGGTAGTGGATCTAGAAGTTTGGATGCTGCTTGTGTATCACAGTTGTGGGATCTACGTTTTTGTATTGTGGTAATAATGGACACTGGGTCAAAATTCTAATGCAGTAAAGTTTTATGGTAATTAACGATTATATTAAAAATTACTCTCTTTGTTTTAAAATGAGTTAAAATGAGTGTCGTTTTTAAAGAAGAACAAATTTATTTTAAAATAAATATTATTCTCACTTTTCAATGTAATAATGATAATTATTTTTTCAATTGTGTCTTATAATTATTACTTTACACATTACTTCCAATAAATTAATAAACTTAATTTAGTAAAAGTAACATATTTCACGACAACACATTACTTCCAATAAATTAATAAACTTAATTTAGTAAAAGTAACATATTTCACGACAATATGATTGTATTTCTTAATCTGTGTGCAAAAACCTTAAACAACACTCATTTTAAAACGTAAAATTTTCTTTTGTCGATAAAAGTTAAATGAGTGTTAACTTTATGGTTTCAAAATTTATTATCGGGATTGGTTTTTTAGGAATTTCCTCACAAGTGTGTTTGACAAAATGTTGATATTTCTGAAAACATGGCATATGTGTTCGGATTCTTGAGTTTGATATTTCTGAAAAAATGGCTTGTGTTTGGAAAGAGTCTTTATTGACACTTTGCAATTCTTACTGACCCTCTTCACTTTGCAATTCTTACTGACCCTCTTCACTTTGCATTCATTGAGGAACATGGTCAAATTTGCTGGAACGAATTTCGACTAAAAAGAGTGTTGAAAGCTGTGGTTTAAGTAATTATTCACTGGCAATTCATATTTGACCTTATCAAAGATTGACCTAATTTATATTAAGAATTTTACCATGTTTCACAAGTCACAAGAACATGGATTTAAATTACCATCAATTCGAGAGGACCTCATTGGTAGGCACTATATAAGTTATAACTACATCTATGGCCCTTGATTATAAATTTACAATGAGCTTCTAAGGCCTAACGTTAAAATTTCACTAAGTAATAAAAAAAGGGACAAAAAATGATAATCAATTTAATAGTAGAAGCTAAGATTTGGAAAAAGAAGAAAATAAAAGACAAATCTACTATGCCAACATGTAATAGTAAACCTCCAAATGGAAAATATACCATACACAGCTCAGAAAGGTTCCTCTCTAATTACTTGTCACTCATATTATATATTCCTAAAGAAGTAACTAGTAATATGACATTGCTACAAAGATGAATTATGAAGTTGGAAATTAAGCTCTCATTATGGTGATGCTGGGATGGGTTCAGTACCAGAAACATGGGATGCAGCATCTTCTTTTGACATAGCCACATAATTCACAGGAGCCACAGGTCTAGTATTATCCCTTTTTCCATCTTTTGCTATGGACCTGCTTCCATTTTGATGAGCATTAAGCGATAGCCGTCGGCTAGGAGTACCGTTGGCTCCTCCATTAACACGAGGGCCACCTCCCTTCTTAGCACTAACTGGCCTAGCAGGACTGGGTTTTGAACCAAATGGGGCTTCTGGTTCTGTGATTTGCAAATCCTGAAATTTCTTCTGGTCCTGTAGAGTGAAAATACCAACACCACAGGTTATACAAGTCATTAAAACTGTGCAGTGAACAGAAATAGGCCAAGCTGATAGTTTACTTTTGTTCAGACTTATTATCAGAAAATGCTCCAATTAATCTGAAAATCAGTCTTCCTAATCATAGCATCAGTGATACTTACCCTCATTCTTCGTTTTTCTTCTTCCCGTTCATGCCTAAGCATGGCATATTCATCTAACATAGCTAGAAGAGGAACACCATCATATGTGAATGACATATCATGAGTCTCTTCCCATGCTCGTGTTTTAGCAACCAAAGTCTCAACCAAAGCTGCATTTTCACCGGAAAAAAACAATGTTAAATTTTTCAATAATGAAGGCATCTTTTTTGTTTTATTTACATTGACAGCGAATAGCCGAATATAGTTAAGAATAACAGTATCTGATGGTGGTTGTGGTTCCATTCCATACATACCCGGAATTTTATTTACCAATATCCGAGCTTTCTCTGCTCGTTTGAGGTTTAAGTGTGCTCCTCTGCTTGCATTATACCTGTTCTCGTCCTGTTTTGCATTGATGTGTAAGATGATAAAATTATTAAATCCAAAATGGGGAAGTTTGTTAACCATTAAATGCAATGATCAAGCTTGCAGTAAACTAAAGCTAAATCTTAGGCACTATCAAATAGCAAATCATACTGATTTGCATTCATCTTTCTTAGTATATAAGTTTTAGTGATTTGCTATTTGATTATAAATGTCTTGATTAACTCTCACCAAAACTGCGCAACACCAACTACACCGAACACAGAAAAAATGCACAAGGGAGATTATAATTACCCGATTATAGTCCTCAAGCCAGCTCTCTTCTTCACATGCTGACATCCATTTCTCAACCTTGTCCAATATATCTTTTCGGCTTAAAGCTTCTTCTTTCGCTTTTGCTATTTGATTGTCCATGTCAGCCAGTAATTCAGTTGGTTCAATGTCTCCAGAATCAATCAATGCCATGATCTTCTCCCTTGCAACATCTGAGTCTATTTCTATATGAGCATGGGCAAATATCTCTTCGAGTTCTGATTGTTTCTTGAAAGCAATTTCCTTCATCCTGCTTGCTTTAAGCTGGTCGAGTCTCTCAACTTCCACTTCAGCCTTCACAATAAGAACAAAAGAACCTGTTAGCTTAATTTTTGGATCCCAGTCATTTAGCTTCAGAAAGTCTTCAGTACCTGCTCAATCAGATCTAGGGCAAGGGAACCAGGAATAGTGACTTCATCAACAGAAGCTGAGATATTACAGGTAACATGGTCAAACAGTTTCCTTTCCTCTTGAGGAGTATCCATTAGATTCCATAGATCAATTAACTGAGAAGCTAATTCTTGGAGCTGCAGGGTTGGAAGGGTTGAAGTAAAATAAAAATTATACCATAGACCAAAAAAACCAATATTAATTTCCAAGTATGAATTAACATATTTTGTGATAAATATATTTTGTGAAACAAAAATCATATAGTATGCAAAAGTTAGAAATAATTGAAAGCATATAGTTAACAACCTTGTGCAGCCTCTGCTTTTTATCTTCTTTCAGCGTTAAGACTGTGTTAGCGAGCCTAGCTAGGGTGTCATTGCTTATACTTTTGGATTGAACACCAGTGGAATCATTCAGGCTTGGATGAACCTCAGTTACAGTACTGAAGAAGTCCATACCAAGGACTGCACAAAGATCATGCACAGTACTCACCAATTCAAAAACCTTTTGCAATCTGTCACTCTGCCAAACAAAGCAATGCAACAAAATTCTCAATGCTCAGTTAATGAAATCAAATGGGATTTTCATTCTGCAAACTAACTGATATAAACTTGGACATGGCAACTAAATTACCTTTTCCTTTTGAAGTTCGTGAAGCTCAGATTGATATTCCTCAAACTTCTTTAGAGACAGGTCAGACTCATCAACTGCAGGAACATCGTTACGGTTCAAGCTCCCAGTTATCTCTCCGCAAATTGTTTGTATCTGTGACTGTACATCTGAGAAATCCTTTATTCTTTCTTCCTTTTGTTCCCATAACTGCTCAAGTACAGGTGCTATAGCTGCAAGCTGTTCCTTGATAGTTCCAGAAGTATTATCAGGCTGCAAAAGAATAAAAGATATGCATAGTAAATTAGTCTGTAACTTTATAATTTTAGAGCATCATAAAGCAATATATGCAGTAGTAATTGTGCTGTGTTTCTTTCATAAAGAACATAGCTAGGTAGTTACTAACAATTCCAGCAAAGCTCTTTTCTCCAAGAGCAGATAGAAGAGTAGAAAGCTCAAGCTGAGCATCAGACAAGGATTGAAGTAGTTGTGCCCTCGACTTTGTAGCATGCTCAACCTTTCTCTTGTACACATCCAAGCACTCCTGCTCTAACTGAAGAAGCATCTTGTCCCTTTCCTCATCACTTTCCCCAACCTCGTCCCATATTTCCTACATCAAAAATAAAGATAACATAAACTTATTAACCTTTATGTCATACACATATCTAAGGTGGCAGAGATAAATAACCGAATGAAGTTACCTGCAGCTTCTTCAACAAGGAACCACATGTGTGTTCTCCAATAAGAGGGTTTTGAGCTTCAGTTACTGCCATTGAAGTTCCAGAACAACCTAGCCTGCAAACCCACATACACAAAAAGTCATCAGACACTCCTCTCTCCATCAACCCACAGATAGAATAATCTCTTCTGCCAGGATCAGAAAAGCAGATATCTTAAAACTTGTACTAAAAAACAAAACAAAAGACAAAAAGGAAAGAAAAAAAAATGCTAGTTGTTTATCTCATTATAGGGAAAGAAAACTAGCGACTTTGACTAATCAAAGACCATGGGATTACAATCACACAAAAGATGCCATAAAAAAAGTACAAAATCTGAATTCGGAATCAACTAAACCAAAATGAAAGCAAAACTCAAAATTCAATGTGACTAAAAATCATTGAACTCCAGTGCCCTAAATCATTCATCTCAATGGCTAAAACTGACAAAATCAAAGAAAATCAAGCAAAAAAAAAAAACGATTATAAATCATAATAGTACTATACTACTAATACTAATTGTGTTAAACAAATCTCCAAAAAAAAAAAAAACTCATTCAACACTTTCATAATTCAATGCATAGTTAAGCTAATCAAAATCACTCTAAATAGCATCACAGCAAAACGATTTCAGCAACAAAAAAAAAAAAACAAAATCATTGACAACAAGTAAGAAATCAGCAAGAAAAGTACATTATAGTGACACGAAAAAGGAAATCAAAGTGAAATAGAAGTTGAAAGAAACGAATGAGGAAGAATCAGATCTCGGATGATAGCATAGATCAGAGTAAGAAGATGAAGTTTACCGTATGAGGCTGGGTTAGGGTTTGAAGAGTTTTTCAGATCTGAAACAGTGTGAATGTGAGTGTTAAAGAAAGAGTGTGAAGTGTGTAGTTATAATAATGGTGGTAGTTTTTAGTAAGTGATGAGTGTTGAAAGATTAGAAAATCTAGATTATTAGTAGATAAATAGAAACAGATCAAGATGAGAAGAAAGAGAACGTACAGTGAATGAAATTACAAAATGGACCCACAACACTACACAACAAAAATAACACCATATATTATATTCTCTCTCTATTTCCCTCGTTAAATTGCCATTCGTTTTTATCTTTTTTACGAAATTGACACATTATGTCACGCTAATTAAGAAATTTTAAATGGTAATAAAATTATTTGAAATTTTAAAATATTAAATGTATGCGTTTCAAAAAAATATTTTCATAAATAATTTATTAATTTGTATCTTTAAAACACTCATTTAGTTTTTTTTCTTTTTCATTTTCACCACTCTCCAATGTTCGCACACACTTTCCTCCTAATCACCTCCAAATTTTTCTCAATTATAAATATAAATAAATAATATTAGACAATTACCGGTGCGATACACAAATATATTTTATTAAATTAGTTTTGATAATTATTATAATAATTTAAAAATAATTTAAAATAGAGATAATAAATATTTTTTATATTCATCAAATTTTTATGAAAATAAATTGATAATAAAAAACAGAAGATATGTTTAACTAGATTAACACTGATAACACAATTAAGTTCTTTAAAGTCACTGAGAACACTGTAGTTTATTTTCACTCCATATATAATTATGACATTATGTCATTGAGTAGGAGGAATATTTCCTCAATTAATGTCATGAACAACCTTTTTACAAAGTATACAGACAACTCATGACAAAACATCAATTTAACCAAATGTATCATATATATAAGTATGTTTTCATGTAATTTAGGACAATACAATGTCTTTTTTGTCGAGTTCATGATAGCTATCTTAGCTATGGAGCATGTCATATCTAAGCATTGGTGTGAATTTAGGTTGAAAACACACTCAAAGCTTTTGGTTCTTGCTTGCACCAAGCCCTCCCTAGTTCGTTGAAAGAACAATCATTATCCAAATAAACTTGTTAATTTAAACACACTCAAAACTTCTGGTTCTTGCTTGCACCAAGTCCTCCCTGGTTCGTTGAAAGAACAACCATTATTCAAATAAACTTGTTAATTTAGATCTAACAATACTAAATTATACTTGATGAAATGATATACATAATGATGTATAGGTATGACTTTTAATTGGAATATGCTAAGTCTTCTTAGCTTTAAAGTTGGTTAATTGCTGAAGTTTTTTTTTTTTGGTTTGGTCCCATCAACCACTTGTAATTGGTTCTTTCTTTTATATATGAGTATACCTTTAATTTTGATAAAAAAAGGAAAATGAAAATATAATAAAAAAATTATATTTCAACCAATTTTAAATAATTAAAACAATATAACTTTTATTTTATGTTATTTCATACACCTTTATTTTTATCATATTTTATCAATCTAATTAAAATTTTATCCTTTCGTGTCTTCACTTAGTAATAGTTTTAAATACTTATAATTATATATAGTTTATTTTTGACAATTTTTTAAACTATTTTTCCATCACGAATAAAATTTTATGTTAAATCCATTAATAAAAATCAAAACAAATTTAACTTATTAACACAAAAAATAAATTACTATATATTCACCGAGCACATGGTTAGTCTGAGGCTCGGACTGCAGAGTCAAATTTTTATAAGGGTTAAATAAATTTTTGATCCTTCTAAATATCTCAAACTTCATTTTTAGTCCCTCAAACATTTTTCTTCAAAGAATGGTCCTCCTAATATTTTTCATCCACACTTTTGGTCTCTCATGTCAACATCCGTTAACAGAAGTCGGCATGGCACGCCACATGACAATGCCAGTATGGCAAGATACTGACGTGTCATGCCACATGACTAAGATCAATATTATACTTGAACCCATAAAATATCATAGTTAATCGGTAGCTAAAATCGTAGCTAATCTGTAACAAATTTATTGCAGGAACTTTTGTTTTGAAAAAATGCAGTATGTTCATGTTGATGCGGAGGACTTATTTGTAAAATTTAATGGAGATTTTTCTTATATCATAGTAATAAGAAACTTTAAAATTCTATGCAAACTGAAACCGACATGATTATTCTCAATGTTTATTGAAAACATGAGTATTATCAGTCTCATTCCACTAGTTTCATTTAAATAACATTTTTACCAATGTGAAATTTTTTCAGGTGTGGTTCATTCTCTTCAGTTGCACATTCAAAGAGTGTTGGAGTTAAGAAAAACATTTTGACATTAAATTTTTTTTCCTTAATATTTGTAAGAAAAAAGCCGCCAATTGTATGTTGTACATCCAAGTTGAAGACTTCATCTCATGGATTATATATATAGAGAGTGTGGAAGGAACCCGCGCTACTGTTATGTCTATTAGATCACATTTAATGTTTAAGCATGTTAGTATCTTTGTTTTTGAGTTATCATTTGTGGTTGATGTATTTTGGTACTAGATCCCATTTTCTCTCTTGCCACTAGATACACGCAATCTTTTTCATATTCTCTCATGCAATTTAATATCATCATTTTTGTTGATCATATACCTTATTCTTAATATATTTTTCTCTTCTACTCTCTTTTATCTTTTCTTGAGCTTTCTATAAAATTGTTTCCACTTTCCAATTCAATTATCCAATTTCTTCCGGTTGAAAACTTGTTTTAAACATCCAAGAATCCAAATAAAAAACAAGATGAAGATAACATGGAATTGTAAGAGACAGTGAATATATTGTTACACAACAACATGAAAATTAATATTGTTGCTGGAAACATTTTAACTAAGCAACTACATAACACAAAGGAGAAAAAAATGAATGCATATTTCTCAAATAATTGAGTTGTAATGTTTTGAAGCAAATGAGCAAATATATGAAAATTCATACTGAACAAATAATTGAGTTGATTTGAGGGAATAAATTGATGTGAGACCGTGTTGTAAGGAATCATGATTATTGTATTGCACCTTTTCTGGAGGATACTTCAAAAATGATTTATAACAATATAATACTTCCATGCTAGACCTATTAAAAACCATATATTGGTATTCCATACTGCACAAAATTAGTCATGTTACTCCCTCAAATAAAAATCATTTTCTTCTTGAAAATTAAACACAATATATAACAATATTATACGTGTAACTTGCTTATTTTTATGGGAGATTGCATGAGCCAAAATTGAGTCTTTAGACTTGCATATAGATGAAAGTGAATTAACTTGCATTAATTATAATGATGAAAAACTTGTCAAGTTTTGAATAATTTTAGTGTTTCTGATAGAAATTATTAAATTATCCATAGTCTATGTTATGTGTGCTTTATAACCACTAACATTATTTGCAAAAGAATTGGTGTTGGACATCAATGGCAACCACATGCGAGAGCAATATCTATGTTAATTAAGATGTCTAGTAACATGGTCACTTATAAGCAATCTCCATTAAATTTTACAAATAAGTCCTTTGCATTAACATAAACAAGCTGCATTTTTTTTAAAACCAAAATTCTTGCAATAACTTTGCTATAGATTAGCTGTGATTTTAGCTACAGATTAGCTACGAAATTTTATGGGTTCAAGTATGATGTTGATCTTAGTCGCGTGACATGACAATCACCATCTAGCTATGCTGACACTACCATGTAACATGCCACGTCAGCTTCTGTTAACAGACGCTGACATGAAGGACCAAAAGTGTGGACGAAAAATATTAGGAGGGTCATTCTTTGAAAGAAATTTTTTGAAGAACTACAAATGAAGCTTGAGATATTTAGGGGGACTAAAAACTTATTTAACCTTTTTTATAATGGTAACGTACAAGAAAAGTAATTTCATTATAAAGCAAAAAATAATTGTGTCACAGGATTTTACAACGCAAACAACATATTCTCGCTCTTTAACCGTAAAACTTATCGTTATTTCATTTTTTACCGCACTATAATAAAACTCATTTAATTATATTTTTTTAATTAATTTCAATAAAACTCATATTTATTAATTAAAGTTGTTAAGTCTAATAAGAAATATTTTGAAACTAAAATTAAGGTTAATTTAGTAATTATTAATATTAATTTAAAAATATTAATTCAATAATTCCGTAATCTCTCTTTAGTTATCATTTCTAATTAATTAATAT